GCACGGATGGCGACAGAGATATCGCGGTAGCTGAAGTTTGTTCTGAACCTTTATTTATCCAATGATGTATTTTAACGTCTGTGCGGCAACAAAATGTCTGAAAACTTGCAAATAAAGCACAGGTTGTCGAATGCTTGCTTCACAGAATAAATAGCCCAGCTCGCGTCCGATTTCGTTGCCCGTGGGACTTGCTTCCTTTTTTTTCGGTTCTCCCGTCTCTTATGGCGGAAAAACCCCAGTCGTCTGCTCTCGTTCCTCTCGTGAGTGATGCATGACAGGAGCGCACTGTGGTGCACACTTGATTTTCAAGGCGCAGCGAGTACATAGACGCGTCGAGTGGCAACGCCGAAATGAACCACGCACGGGCACGAGTGCTCATGAGCAGACTTGTACGTAATCCGTTACGAGTAACGAAATTACTTGTAATCCCTTAGATTTATCGGTAATTTAGTAACGGAATAATTACATAATCTCTAGAGTAATTTTAAAGTAATTCTGGTTCATTTTTTACGTAACGGATTCCTTGTAATCCATTACATTTTTTTTCAGCACCAGCCCTCCCCCCCCCCCCCCTCTTCCCCTCTTCTAAAGAAAGGTCGTTTTCAGACCAGGGCAAAGGGAGGCTTGGCACTATTCAGTTCCGCAAAGCCTTTTTTTTTTTTGCAACTCCAAACTTTTGACGCTATTTTTTTTAGACCCTAACAACAACGTAAAAAAATCCAAGTAAACATTTCAACAGGGGAAAAAAGGGGGGGGGGGGGAGCAAGTTATATGCGCTTTTTTTTGTGTCTTCGTTTTTTCTTTGCGATCGAAGTTGTTGTATGCCTGTTCGAGGAGCTCAAGGTGGTAAGTACGTGCTCCTGGCGTTTTTGAACTACACCACGAAAGGTACACATGGCAAACGTGCGTTTATATGTCCTTGTTTTAACCAACGTTCTAATTATTTGCTGTTATGAGTGTCCTGTTTTTTTTCTCTCGATTACTTATATTAAAATATTTGAAACTTTTTCTTATTCACCAACGTCTCAAGTGAGGCTCGAACTGTTCAGAACCAAAGGAAGAAGAATATCGAGCCAAACCTTATTTATTATTTACTTATCACCTTACTGTTACCTACTCTACTAAAACTTTCGAATATCAAGCAACGGCTGCAAGGACGAAGCTTCGCGCTATGTTCGAGGTAAATAGTACTTCCATTGCTTCGCTTAAAAAGCTCAATGCAGAGCATAAAACATTCCTGAGGCACAGTATGGCACTCCCATCCAGTGGCTCAGTTCAAAGTGTGTTCGGCGTATCAGTGGACATCTTCGGTAAAAAATAACGCACAATGTATGACGAAACTTTCGAGAGTTAGCTGTTGCTCAAAATATTTAAGGTCAATAAATGGAACAGGTGGCAACCAATAAGCACTTAAATAACCTTCATTTTGTTTCTTAATTGAGGAAAATAATGTTGAAAAAATGCCACGAAAAGAACGGATTACTTTTGGGGGTAACGGTCACTTACTTTTATAAACGGGTAATTGTACTTGTAATAAATTACAATTCAGCCTTGAGTAATTGTAAACGTAATTCGTTACTATTTTTCAGTAACGTGTACAAGTCTGCTCATGAGTGCGTGTAGTCCTACACTGGGCACGAGCATGTGGCTTCGCCTTGCATCTTGTTCGCGTGCAGAAGTTGCTTTGACAGTATTGCAGAAATTACAGCCCTGAAAATAAAGTAAAAAAAGGTTTGTGCCGAGTCTAGACAGTGCTGCAAGACCGCCGAGTCAGAAACCGAGCGGCCACTAAATGTGTTTCGTTTCAAAATGGCCTAATTGGCAAGACTGAACCGCCACCAAATGTGTTCTGTTGTAGAGTACCAAAGTACATCACCAGACATGAGTGTCCAAAATATATACCTACAATGGCTAGCGACGCTTCATAGAAGTCATGCAATGACCCTCTGCTTGGCCAGTTAAGCCACACGCAGTGCCGTGCAGGGTACAGGACGGCATCCATGAGCCGGCCGGTGCAGTGACCCAGGGTCCCGCCCATAGTGTTCCGCTGCTGCCTAGGACGAGGTGAAAGCCAGCTTATTGATGTCAAGGTCCTCGGGACCTGTGGTGTGTAACTATTGCGTTTAAGTTTTATAGTCATCGACCAATATTTCTAACTCGATGGGGATCGCGCAAAGCTCAGATTAATCGAGCAGTCCGGAAAAATGTATTTAACGTAGAATACCGAGCATCCACCCACTCCACATTCAGCGCCCATATCCAAATCTCTAAGATATGAAAAAATATGAACAGCTCATTTGTATGTAAAATTGATGACCGGACAAGCACTTATCCCCCATTTTTTGCGATTATCTCTAAATTTTGAGTGGGCGCTTGCCCGGTATCTTGCGGTAGCCTAAAAATCACTTTATTGCGATTTTAAGCGCAAAGTTGCTGCGGAAAGTAATTGATTCAATAGGCTCGCGATAATTAGAGCTCTGATATTTCACACTTCCGGTTAATTCAAACAGATTTGAAAATTTTGGTTGTCCCGCTATGTTTTAATGTATTTATAAGTCGCCTAATTCGAACGGCGTTTTCGCTAAATTCGTACTTTTTTGTTCTCGCGGCCCCGTTGAGTGCGCTTCTTCCGAGCACGGGTGCACCGCAGAGAAGCAATACCTGCGAAGCTTGCTTTTACAAGTGTTGCTTCTCTGCAGGGCACTGGTGCTCGGAAAAAAGCGCACTCAAGTGCGCACGTGGGCACACTTTAGCGGAAAGCAGCGTTCACATTATGCGCTTCAAGACAAGCAATGATGATCAAGACACAACGAGGATAAGGACCAGCTCACTGGCATCATGCTTTCTGGCCTTGGAGCACATAAAGTGAACGTTGAGCTGGCGGAATATGCTAGTCTTGACGACAATGCTTGTGTTTGTCGTGATGACTCATTAGAGGTCACAGTACAGGAAATAATGCCAGCACAGTGCAGCAGTGAGAGTGAAGATGACGATGAAGAAAGGGATGACTTGCTACCAGCTGTAACAGCCACAGCTTTGAGCACATTGCTCAGCTCCAGAAGTTTCTGTCCGCAAAGGATGAGTCCCGTAAAGAGCAACTTGCGTTGGCTGGTACTGAAAATTTTGTTTTGAGATCGTGTGGGCTGTCTGAACAGTCCACAATTGACAACTTTTTTGCCGGATGAATAAACTTAACGTCACAGCTCTTTCACCAATGTGTTATGCCTGTACTTGATTATAATTTCGACTATGTAGAGGAAACTGGCAAAAATCTGCTTTGTATGAGTAGCTATCTATGTGACAAATCATAATGCCGTCTAGATATTTATTATATTTAGACGAATTTTTAATTCGAACTTCTGATAATTCAAACTAAAACTTGCGACTTCCTGTAGTTTGAATTATTGAGAGTCTACTGTAATTTTCTGCACGGCGTTTTGCATTCAGCGATTCATTTTGTCTCTGTATACAGACGAAAGCATGAAAACGTTCGGAGAAGTTGCGCATTCACGGCTGCACGATGCTGGCAACTGTAGGGACAGTCGTTAGACTTTGCCCTTGGCGAAGGGCGAAGTCCGGTTTTTAACACGGTGCCGCTTTAGCAAATGCACAGATTGATTGCTACTTCCTTGGCGATACAACCGCTGCCTTTTCACGTCGACACACGACAAAAACCGCAAACAAAAGCAGACACCGTCACAACTTCGCAAGGTGAAACCGGAGAGGTCAAGAGCGGAAGAATTGCTCCGAGTGTCAACGTGCTATGTGGCATCAACAGCAAAGACCTGCCATTTAAAAAAAATATACTAGTTTTAGTTTTTTTGCTGAACGTTACGTTACAACAACTGACGGCAGCGATTGGCTGGCGGAGTGATGTAGATTTTTTTGCGAGGGAATTCGCCACTGAATTTATAACCTGTCATCAAGTGTAGTCTCTAAACATGGAAGATATAATCAGGCCAGTTTCCTCGTGGGCGTGCCGGGTTTGTTGATTAAGACAAAACCTAGCTCCTTTGACTTGCTCTTCAGCGCCTTGCCTCGAGGGAGTGAACGCTTGTAGCCCCATTGCTCGTGTGGAGCGTTGAAATCTCCTCTTCTTATTATGGATTCCTTTTTATGTCGTGGTTTCATTTGTGCAAGCCAGCTCATATCATGACCTCTTTTGACGGCGGGCCTTATATAGGTCGAAGCCACCGTAAGAGTCGTTTTGTCGTGTATGATATGTACTACGACTACCTCTCGCTTCGTTGCACAGGTCTGTGAATTCCTTTTGCGCGTGCGGAACGTGCTCGTCGACTAAAATGGCCAACTGTCCTACTATAACTGTTTCTTCTCTATGCGTGCCCTTTTTGTGCGGGATCGCTCTCGGTATGAATGGTGTGGTGTATGTCTTCTAGCCACTAAGCTTAACACTTTCGGAGTTGGTGTCCTGGAGGAGAATGACTGCCGGTCTTTTCTTGCCAATTCCTACAAATCGTAGTTGCAGCTCCTCTGCTTTGTTTGCGAATCTTCTTCAGTCCCATTGAAGAATCCAGGGTCGAGGGCTTGCGTCTTTGCTTTGCGAATAGTCCGGTTTCATCTTTCCTTTCTGGCTATCGTTCATTGGTGGGTACCGGGCATCTGTCTATTTTTTGCACGATGGATTTCATTCTGGTGAGGATCTCAGTTGCTAGAGACTCGAATCTTTCAATTCCCCTAGTGTTGGATTGGATAGAGGCCAGGCCTTCCTCAACCTTTTGGCACATTGCAGAAAGCCTGGCTTCCCAAGCGGAGGGTCTCTCGGTACGATATTTGCAGGTTGTTCTGCTCGAATCTGTTGCCCCATTCCCAATTGTTGCTTGTTCGCGGCTGCCGTTGAGGCCATAGGGCGGCGTGCGAGTACGGGGTTGAATGCTTCTTGAATTATTCTTACAGTATCTGCCCATGAAACGTACGGCCGAGCCGACAGCGGCAGGGAAGGTGACGACGTCAAAAGGAGTATATCATCTTGGAGGTCTTCGTCAACTCGAGGTGCGGGCTTCTTTTGTCGCTTCTTGAGTGAGTCGCTTCTCGGCGGAATTTTTCTTTTTAGGGCACTTGTTGCTTGCGGCGACGTGTGCTCCGTGGCAGTGGACGCACTTTGGTGCAGCCTGGCAATCCTCCACCTCTCCGTGTTCTTGTCCGCATGATCCGCACCTCCGGATGTTATTGGGGCACACAACGGCCTTGTGACCGATTTGGTGAAATCCGAAACAAACCAGCGGCCTTGGTCTGTATTCTGCAACCCTGTAGACTTCGAAAGCGTAGCGAACGTGCCGGGGCAACGTTCTTCCCTCGAATGTGATTAGAATAGTCCTTTTCTTGATGCCCAGGGCTCTGGCCGCGACGATCTTGTGTGTGTTGCAGATGAGTTCATTTACGAGAGTTTCGGGATCGTCATGCGGTGAGTGAAGGTAGATGACACCTCTCACCTTGTTGGAGCCTAGTGCCTTGTAGGGCTGCACTTCACGCGGGCCTTGTCGCTCGGTAGGAATTTCTCTGATTTGGAGAAATTTTTCCGCGAGCAAGCTATTTCTGGTTGTAATGGCGATGGTATTCGCTTTTTCGTTTCTATACACGGTGAAGTCACTCATGTTCTTTACGCCGGTTTTCCCGATGGCGGCGCGAATCTCCTTGGTTGAGAAGTCCTCGACGTTCATTTTACACACTGGTCGGAGAACAACCGTCTGCGTGAGCGGCTTCTGGGTCTTTCATCAGAAGTCTCACGTTGCTGCATTGAAATCAGGTCGTATTTACGTTTCGCTCGCACCGCCTGTCGGCAATCCTCATTACTGTCCATCATGAGGAGGTCCAAGGATTCCTTGGCTTGTCGGTTGGTTAGGTGAAGTCTCTGCGTCGGTCGTCGGTGTCCAGGGCGGCAACGAGGGAGTGCTGAGCACGATCATGCTCATAGTTACAGGCTAAGAACATAGCGCAAATAAAGAGGAGAGGAGAAAGCCAACAGTATGCTGGAGGGGAGAGGTTTTCTTCGCTCCTCTTCAGGATTGTGGCCTCAGCTCTCGAGGAGGCAAGACGCACTTCCTGAGCTCCCGCTTCAGACCCAACCCGAGGGAGATACTCTTGCTGCCAAGTTTATTTCCGCAGAGTTGAAAAGCTCGAAGATTTCGTTTACGCGCCGGCATCTTTCCCGCCAAAATTGCCGTTCATTGCTTTCCGCCATTTCGAAAAAGTACTGCATTTAAAAACACGCTAACCTTTGTCACTGCCTTGCATTGCTGTCACCATCAATTTGGTTGGAACAGACTCGCAGCGCTGACTAACAACTCAGGATATATTTCTTCTTCCTCAGATCGTCATCATCTTGTCCTTCGCCGTTAATGAGAACATTTTAAATTTTTAAACACAAGAAACCAAATAGCTAATAAACATTAATAAGTAAATAATTAATAAATAAATGATAGCTAAAAGTAAATAAAACTAGGAAAATAAAAATAAAATAAAAAATGAAGTTATTTTTATATAAAAGTTATAATTAAAAAATTAAACTTAAATTTTTTTTTTAATTTTTAACTTTTATTTTTTTAGTTGTCTTTTATTTATTTATTATTTATTTATTAATGTTTTTTGGCTATTTGGTTTCTGGTATTGAAAAATTTAAAATGTCCTCATTAACGGCAAAGGACGAGAAGATGACAATATGAGGAAGAAGAAATATATCACTGAGTTGTTAATCAGCGCAGCGAGTCGGTTTCCCTCTGGTGTGCCCGTGAGTGTGACTGTATCCGCGCTGTTCCATCCAAGCATGAATTACCAACTAGCCCAAGCATCCACATTATGAAGCAATCATGAACCTCGAGGCTATTTCTGTTCCTGTCCTGGCCTGGCTTATCTTGCTTGAGTCTCTCGCATGGGTGGATAATTGCCATAACGGTACACCTTGAAGTAGGCGGTAGCTTGCGCTACCTAGATTGAATGTTGCCAATGGAACTGCATTTCGAAATACAGCGCAAATACAAAACTAATAATAATTGTAGTGCGTCCTGGTTTTATTAAAGAATTGTTTGATCGAAACTATAGTTAAAAGATGTCCTAAACCTACGCAACTCCATGTAATATTTTTCTATGTGAAATTTGGTTGAGCAGTGAACGTGAAGTGTGTATACAACCGCCATTTCATCCATTATTTTTTTTAAACGCAATTAAATTGAGGACGTATAGACGCTTTGCAGGAGCTGTGCATGGACGCCGCCATAACTGAACTTCAGTTTTTGTTTCCTCTTATTTCGTTTTTTACCCTTCATCAATACCATAGCAGGCCAGGTTATTGGCAGATTATATTCAACTGTGTATTTTTTTAAAGCATCGGCTTTTGTAGAGGATCGTCAAGTACCGTTTCAATTGCTCGGCATCTCGGTAAGACAAGAGAAGGTCAGCAATGGCGGCTGTAATTTGGCGCGTGTGTAAAGCGTCTATACATTACCTCTAACTTTGCATCCTTCGTCCACAATGAGTCTTCGGAACGACGTTTCTAGGATAATCCAGCGACTGACGTTTTCAGGATGTCCTGAGGACGTCTTGTAAAACCGTGAGGACGTTTGTACCTTTCGAGGACGTCCTCAGGATGTCGGGTGTTGTCTGGGAAAGATTTGAAAAACACGAAAGAATAAAGCATGTTGGGACGAAAACAGACAGCGCAGTTCTTTGTTGAAATGGGATTTATGATCAAGCACATTATTCTGTCGGATCAAATGGTTTTGTTGAATTAGGTTTAGCTCGCAAGTCAGCCAGCTGGTCCTTCGGCGGGCTTTCAGCTTTCTGCGATGCGTGTTTTATTCGTGAGCGCAGGCTTCAACAATGTAGGCAGCGGCGCCAAATAGATTTAAAACGAAGAAACAGCTCGGACGCGTGGAACGAAGAGATCACATCACAGGAAAACGCAAACCACTCACCTTTCGTTCGACGACTGCTCGCAAGGCACAATGTTTCTCTGGGCGTTGAACCAGATTGAGCAAAGCTAAGAAGATCGCGTCTATTTCCATGCTCCTATTGGTCATGACGTCAATAAATTTCATCTAATAAAGTGCGCGCCGAAGTTCTCTCGAGCCGCCGGTGTATAAACGTGCAAAGCACGCCACTTTGTTTTGTCAAAACAACAACAAATATAAACCATTCTGACGTGACGGGCGTCAAAATAACAAAGGATCCAAAAATAACGTTATTTTGACGTCCGTGACGTGATTGGCCACGCCCACTGCACTTCAAATCCGTGCCGAAAATAAGCAGCCCTTCCATATCTGCTGAATTCGTTTGGAAGTATTGTGCTATTAGTATCGTATTTTATTTTGCTACGTGTTCGGGACGTATTTATAATATTGTGGCACTGTTGACATGCTCAATAATATTTATTACTCTCTCCTAATACTCTTTTATGTGGTTTGCTGATTGTTTTATTGCAAGCGTGTAGACGATAAACGAACATAGCTTCCGTAAGGTTGCTCCACATCCATAATCGCCAACGAATGAAATCCAAAGAAATCCACAGCCTGTTCCGCACGTTTGTCGTGTGTCTGTGCAAAGCGGCTTTGGTCTGTGTGTTGAGGTAATTTCCCAATTAGTCGTGATGCGTGGAGTTCGCATTAGTTTCAAATGTGTTCGAAACGGACCGAAGCTACTGTGAGACGTGGAACTACGTCAAGTCTGCTCAACAGCCGAGATCATGGCACGGTCGTTCGAAGTAAGTTTGTTTCTTTGTTCGTTAGGGCTAGATTATTCTTTCCTGAGTTCAAAAGTCTTGTTATTATCTGCAGATCGTTGCTTTTACCGGTATTACTAATTGTGCGCAAATGATGTTGTGCAAGGCTGTTTTTTTTTTTTTTTTTTTTCTTCCCCGATGCAGAACATTCCTTTATCGTTCCCAAAAGAGCGCTTAGGCTGCGTACTCGCTCAAAGTCAATCAGTAGCGCCGGAACCTTTCGGGAGATGGTGGGGCAAAGGCGGAAAGAAAAGGGGGGGGGGGGGGGGTTGATTGCCTCCCTCCACCGTATTTTTTACTAGTAAACTAGAATGTCTGGAAGAACGCGGTGCCCCTCCATTGCCGAGGCCATTAGGTTTGACGCAGAGGGTGGAATCTGTGGGCGTATTTGCGTGCGGAGAGCTGAACCAAGCAATAAAAGGCAGCGAGTGATTGATCGAGCAGGCCCGTAGGTTCCGCCGACCAGTAGTCTGCAAACGACTTAGTTTTCGCGATAAGTAATCAGAAAATAATTGCCGAAAAGTGATGCGGTGATGAATTCACCCCATGCTGATTGTTCATGCATAGCATATCACTCCCAATCGTAAAAATTTGTGCCCGCAAAATCATTTTGTCGGCGGCACTTTAAGTAATTCCTCGCAAAATGTCAATCTCTGAAACATAACTTGCTGTACGCGTGTTTCGTATGATCCAACGCACGTGCAACTAACTTCAGACCTCTAGAAACACTCGGGCTGCTTCAAGTAGCGAAGCATTTATTCTCTTCCTAGTGTTATTTAGAGGCTATGAAGTATTTATTACATGCTTCTTGGGAAATTTACAAGCATGTTCTGAATTAAGGTTGTGTCTCGCCAGTTTATGGGAGGAATATTTTGTTTGGTGAAGTATAGTGTTGGACATACCTCACCTAATCCCTGTTTTTTTCATTTGGTACTGCCTTTAGCGAATGGTGTAGGTTGTAATTGTATTTAGTTGTTGCATGTTTATAGTAAGGTGGTGAGCCGGTACTAGTTCAACACCTCGAAAAAAAGTTCACAAAAAGTCAAGGAGACAAGGAAAGTAACTCGTAGACCCCATGTAAGCACAGACTCTCACCTTGCATAAATCAGAGAAGAAAGAAATAAAAAAATGCGGAAGGAGCTCGAGCACAGGGCCAAGTGAAACGTGCTGATTCATCCATTAGCAAGAGCAGAATTTAAAAACATAATTTCCTTGTCAGTTAAGGTATAGATGGATGGCAAATACATAAAAACAGCTCAATCTCTCTCTAAAATCCACGATGGACTGTCAGCTATCTATATACTGTTTACACCTGCTCGTGTATGTCATCCTCACAAAAACATGAATAATTAGCATATACCATGAAAAACATACAAAATGATTATTTTGGGCCTTTAATATTCGCAGTATGGGCGCCCAATGTGTCCGCACATTCGTCTGTTACATGAGCTACCAAGGAAATTGTTTTAATCTTCTACATATGGGTGAATTAGCATGTTCCACTTGGACCTGTTTGAACTTTTGCTAAAGTTCCCTCCGCATTCTTTATTCTTTTTTTCTTCTCTAATTTATGTGACTTGGGAGTCTGCACTTCTATGTAGTGTATGTATTCCTCCTCTTTGTTCCGTGTTCTTTTTTGTGTTATATTTTTTAATATGTTCAATTAAAGTGAACTCACCCCCTTACTACCTGGAAAGGCTGTTGTTAATTCTAGAATGTCTGTGAAACTATCTACCTGACACCTTTGCCTCTCGCCCCGGTTCCTGAAGCTCAGTTCTCCGAGCACAGCCTTTCTGATTTATTTGGTCCTTTCTTCTTTTCTTTTGTATTCAAAAGATAGAGTTGCTAGTTTGTACCTGTGTGTATGTTACGTGTTCCTGTCCTTTTGTCCTTGTCTTTTTGTGCACGTTTTTCAAGCTGGTCAATGATATTTCATTATGTAATCTA